TTGATCCACTGGCCAATATTCCATATTTGTGGGTGGGCTTCATTAAGGCCGCAGATAAAGCCTTTTTTTACCGAGGACAACGGCTCGGCGTTTAAACCCCTCCCCCCAGCAGGTCCATGTGTGCGTCGTAATCTGATAATGGTTATTTGGCTCGTAAATTTGATTTATATACCTCATTCAAGACACCGAGTCCGGTCCCCTTGGTGCTTAAATTTGGTAGTGACAAGTTGGTCGGTTTAAAACTATCCGATACCATTACTGTTTAGGCGGCAGTCCTCAAAAATCGGTGTTATCTAAGTCGGGCCATGTTATTTAACTTTTTTTTTAGAATTTCGTGGTGTTAATTAAATTACATATTTCCCCAAACATGCCATTCAAACCATCTCCTACTTCATGACGTGGGACGAGTATTTGGCCACCCACCTGACATCACTCTTGCATTGTTATGTAGTTATCTCCTTCCATTTGAGTACACGGCTGGGTCAATTACGAATTGGTGTTCCCTCATTTCTGTTCTACTGAACCAAGACCCGGACGCTGCGAGCTGTACAGCCTATCAGTCCAACACCGGCCAACTGCCGACAGTTCGACCGTTGCCCACAAAGACGTCCACTGCGTCCCCTCACGGGGAGGGGTCGCAGCACTAGCGACTTGCGAGGCATCTACCGCACTGCCTCTCCCTTATTTTCACTCATATTCTTTCGCTGGTGGCAAAATAGTGTCCAAATCGAGCGCAAAGGTTTTCGAAGCTAAGCGGGCCGTCTACGCATGCCCCACACGATCTACTTTCCCCCGTTCATTTCATGTACCGGGATTTCTGTAAGAGTTACTTGGAGCTCACAGACGCGAGGGTACCCTAAAGGCCACATTTAAATGAAAGAATTGCAGGCTGATTCCTAGTCCTGAAGAGGACCGTGTTACCCCGTCATTTGTCGGCCTCCAAAGCCACGAGCTCTTCAGGGGGCATAATTTTGGAAATTATTAAGTGCATAACATGGAGGTAAGTGACCGCAACGTGACTTTTTAGGGTCATACCCAAAATTTAAATGAACATTTTATTCGAAGTCAATCAACTACCATTGAATAACTGCATAGGGAACGCTGGGGGGACCCACTGAGGAACTGAACCCCACGCTGTTGCGTCAAGCAGTAACAGAAACATCAGCAAAACACGTGTCTAGGCTTTTAGTTAGTATTGATGTCGGCAGTACGGTATAACTTCTTTACTATAGACATATGTATATGAAATGGATCCGACAAAGCAAAGGGAGACCGGAATGGCCATTTCTGGTTTGTTAGCCGTCATCAACCAGTCGTACCCAATCTCAAGGGTTGGAACCCTCGAGAGACACATATATTCATATATGTATATATTCGCGCTCATCGGCGGTATTATATTGAGAAATCCGTGGATTTGCTGTGGAGATTGGCTTCCCACTCTCGACTTCCTTCTCTCTTTCTTCGCCCATGCACCAGGTGACTGTCTGTGCCGGTCAACCGAGGGCACGGCGGCTGACGTGATTTGAAGGCCCACGTCGAAGGCGCCACACGCGCGTCTATTCCCGTATACATGACTTATGTAGATCCAGCGCAGTCGGATAAATGCGTGTCGGGAGTCAATCCGAGTAGCCGTTTCTGTCCCGCTGAACACAACTGAGTATTACCAATCTGGATTGGTTGTTGTTACTTAGTTTTCTGATAAACCTACAAATGCTGCTCGACCAGTCACAAAATCGACGCCTCCAAAATTCCGCCCATAGCATCCGCTTCCAATTTTGTGGTATATTTTTTTGGAAATGGCACCTCAACCCGAAGCCGTGAATTATGATGGGCAATATTTTAAAAACTCCCAAAGTTTGAAAAGTGATATAGTTTCCTTAATTCATCCACCTATGCTAATTTGTAAAATTGTGCATTGAGATGCCATTTTTGAAAATCTTGTCACTCTTTGGTTTCGAGAACTTTACAACCGACCAGCGGCACAACCCGAATGTGTCCGTGCGATTCAACAGAAGATGAGTTGATCTTTTTGAACGTTGTTTTGTACTTTTCAAGGTTGTTTAGGACACTTAACTCTCGGTGAACCTAATTTCTATACTTCGCCACGAATACTGCTTATACCCGATCTTTAGTTTAACTGAATCGCACAATTTTGCCATGAAAATTTCCTGTCTTGGCAATGTGTATGCATATTTTTCAGTTTCTGCCTTTTTTGATGTGCACATCAGTTGCCAGTACTGTTAAACTTGCCTCGCTACTGGAACACAATGGTAGGGAAAGAGCGGGTTACCTCGATGCTGCACAAGTCGCTGCTGCCTCTAAGTACTGTGTTTTACATCGTCGATTTTGACCGTCGAACTACCATGCATGCATTGTTGGTGTAGTCCAATTGTCTTACAAATCCACTCCATCTGTCGCGACCCTATAGCGATAAAAATTTATTTCTAATTTTATTAATATGTTGACCTTAACTTAAATTTTCTTCTCCCGTTTTTGACTTCTATTCACTTAACCAATTTGGTACACTTGTAAGGATTTACCCAGGTCGATAATTATATGCTCATCGCTTCTAAGAATTACGTTTTTCTCACCTGACACCTACTTCACTTTTGCCTTTCAACAACGCAGACTCTGAAAAGAAATATCACTGCCACTGGCCTGATTGTCAACGCCGATTCCGCAACAAGGACACCCTCACACTGCACTATCATAAACACACCGGCGAGAATCCCTTTCGTTGTGATCTCTGTTCCTTCACTTGCCACGAGAAGACGTTCCTCGTGGAGCACTACCACCAACAGCACTCCAAAGATGCTCGGGGTGGCGGTCAGAGTAGAAGCGGTTCAGTCCTTTCGCCCGGTTCCAGTCCCTACGATCCGGCCCATCGACCTCTTCCCCTGCCACCGATCCTCCA